ATCACACAGGCTGGTGTGCTTCTTTGATATGGATTTAGTTGACACCTCGCTTAGATGGCTGCTTGTTTGAAGACAAGCCTTCAAGACCCTAGACACTATTCCAAGTGATAGCTGGGCACCATCTGCTTTCGTCACCACACTTTGCTGTAGCACTTCAGTAATCATTTCATGAAGGCAAGTACTGAGCATGGCCGTGTTATAAGACTGAACTGTTCTTGGACTGGGGCTAGAATTATGTGGGAGCCCAGAATCTATCCACTTGTCCACGGGTTTTGACCACCCTAGTTTACTTTGGCAGTCATATTACATCAATAACCAACAAGAACAACAAAAATAAAACTTAAAAAAAAACTAAAAGAACAAAAAAGAAAAATTATCAATCATCCCACTGGGTTATAAGGTGATTGCAATGGTAACATCAATAATTTATCTAATGACACAGAATTTAAGGTACTGTGGATATGAGTTTATGCTAGTCCAACTGAGAGCAGCAATTCATGAGTTGTTGCTTTGTAAATTGATTTCTTAATTGATTGAGCCCTGTTAACACTGAGCATGGGAGTTGATGCTAGGGGGAAAATTCATTATTTCTTACAAGGGCAAATCCTAGCCTCTCGGATTAAAACCTCTCATATTAATGCAAGGGAGCACTGAAGTATTACATATATGGTGGTTCTGGGTACCCGTTTCATTGGACACCCGCTAAGCCAGGTGACCCACCCAGGGTCCAACGACCACCATTTCCAGTCTTGTGGTGGCCATCCTTTGCTTAGTCTCCCATCCGGGTACGTCAGTCCTAAGTACAAGGGTACAGGTAGTTCTGAGGTGGGGCCCAGTTTGGGCTTCCATGTTGAGTCCTTCTGATGTGGCCCTTGGGGCTGCCATGCTCCTTGTAAGTCAGAGTCTAAGGTCTTCATAGTGCTTAGTCCACGGTGTGGTTCTCCGAGGGTTAGGCAGAAACATGCTCCAAGTGTCTACCCAGGAACGTACAACCAGGTTTATTCTCCCCGTAGGGTTGTTCTTCCTCATTTACCCACCATCCCTCACCAACAGAAATACCAGTGCCTCCTCTGAAATGTAGATGCTTTCCTCCCCTGGTCTTAACTTGCTTTTCCAGTAAGATTCTTCTCATTCCTGCAGAGGGCCTATGGACTTGTCATGGCCTTCTCTCGGTGTGCTATAGCATGAAGTGGATGGTTTCCTCCCTTTTCCTCCTTCTGGAAGGAGTGAACCCAGCCAATGTGAGGTCTCCTCTTTTGAAGTGGTTCTTATGAAGTGCACATAAGGGCGGTTCATGGTGGCTGGCAAACCTTCTACCCCTTTATTTAGGAATTGGCCTCTAAGATTTGTTTCTCCTTACAGTAGTGGAATCATACATGTCCTTTTGTGACGAACTTCACCCAGCGTAATGGTTTCCTGGTCCTTCATGTCATGCAGTGTTCCATGCTCTCATCACTGTTTTTAAGGGATGCACAGCATCCCATTGTACGTATGTCGCACAGTTGTTTTATCCATTCTTCTTCTGTTGGGTATTTGGGCAGCTTCCAGTTTCTTCTACTCATGTAGTCTATTTCTTTGGGGTATATGCTTAAAAGTGGGATAGCTGGAACATATGGGACTTCAATTCCCAGTTGCTTTAAGTGTTGCCTTGTTTCCCATATTTACAAGTCTACCAAAATTGTATACAAGGTCCAATCTCTCCACATCCTCTCCAGCACGTTTTTTTTTTAATTGGGCTAGCATTGTGGGTGTAGTGGTATCTCACTGTGGTTTTAATTTGTATCTCCCTGATGACTAGTGATCGTGAGCATTTTTTCATGGTAGCAAAATGACTATTCTTTACCTATTGACTTGTCTTGACACCATGTTGAGAACCAACTGATTTGAATGTAAGGGCTTATTTTTGGAATTTCAGCTCTATTGATTATTGCTGTTAGGTGCTATTGTCAGCCAGGACCCATAGTGACCCCACGCACAACACAACCCAACAGTGCAGTCCTGCCCCATCCCTACAATTGTTCCAATGCCTAAAGTCACGTTGTCAATCCATCTCACTGATGGCCTTCCTCTCTTGGCTGCCCCTCCACTTTACCAAGCATGATGTCCTTCTCCTGAAACTCGTCTCTCCTGACCGGATAGCCAAAGTATACTGGTAATGCATCATTGGGCTGCCATTCACAAGGTCTGCCATTCAAAATGAGCAGTACCTCCACGGAAGAAAGACAGGGCTTTCTACTCTGGACAACAGCTAGTCTCGTCACTCACAGGGGTAGTTCTACCCTGTCTCATAAGGTCGGCATCCACTACTGATTGAGCTCTCCTTATATCACTACCACTCAATCTTGATTACTGTAGCTTTGTAGTTCAAGTTTTAAAGCCATGAAATGTGAATTCGCTACTATTTTCCCCTCCCAAGACTGTTTTGGTTGGCCTGGATTCCTTATATTTCCATGTGAATTTATTTTAGTATCAGCTGGTCAATTTCTACAAAAGAGTCCATTGGCTCAGTTAGCTTGAATATATATTTATTGAAAGACCCTGGCCTGATTAGGCTGACAGAATAACCATTAATTGGATGGGCACTGGACCTTGATTATGGAGTTTAGAGGTAAGTTTGCAAGAATTGGGGCTTTTATCTTCTACTGCTAGTACTGGGGTAAGATTGCAAGCAGAGGGTACAGGGAAAGAATAAGTCTGGAGGTTAGACGTAAACTGACTGATGGCCCTAGATCTGCATTTAGAAGCCACGTGATCTTTAACCCTAAGCTCCAGTCTATAACTGGAAACAACAGGAACACTGGCACAGCACCGTTGTGGGGTGGTGGCACTGTCAAACCACTCGCCTTCTCCCCTCCCACTCTCTCAATACGCTTTGGTGTCTCACTCTATCACACTCTCAGGCTCACTGGGCTGGTGCTTGGTCTTAATAACCCAGAGGGCTTGTGAACAATTTTTGACTGCTTGTCTGGAGTTGTGGTGGGCAGCGGCGCATAGGCAGAGAACGAAGGTGGGTGTGCAGACCTAATGCCCTATGTCTGGAACCTGCTAACCCGTCTTCCAGTTGTTAGTAAGGTTGTACGGGGTGGGTCTTCCACCCCTCACTCTGTGCAGGCCTCAGTCTGATCCAACTCAGGCTTCTGACAGCACTCTGGCTCCCAAGAG